TGAGTGTAAGCTACATGGTATAAAGTAGTTGGCCTAGAAATTACACGCTATCGAACGTTATCAAAGTTACATAATAATAAAAAAGATAATTCGTCTGAAACTGATATACAGTCAAAACTCGTTATAGTGAACTTCTAGTTTCAGTCAATTTTATTTACAATAATAAATATTTACAAAAATGAAAATTTCTTTATAGTGAATATTATATAAAATAAAAAGAAAATTTCTTATAACGCAATTTTTTTTTATTCATGATACAGGTTATGAAATTTTAATTATAAACTCCTGTAACGTATTGGCATAGTAATTTAAACGATCGATACATTTGAAATTGTAGTAAATAATGTAAAAATCAGTGGCTTAGAATAATCAGTTACACACAATAGATATACAAGTATTATACATGTTTGTTAATGTTGAAAACATTTCTGCTAATATGACAAACGATACAAATAAAACATTTTTTAATAAATTGGTCATTAGCTTTAACATAATCGCCTAAACTAAGGTTGTTAGATTGTGGTTTTATTTGTTATTTATAGTGAAAATCTTTGCTAGTATTATAAGAAGGATCAGTGAGAATAAGATTGACTTTTTCCTAGTACTTAAAGTAAGCGAGATGAGGGTTTAAAGGTTGTCACCTTTCAAGATTAAGTTGGAAAGTTAAGAGGATTAATTGAATAATTAGGAAGAGGTTTAAGTAGGTAAGGTTTTATAATTAAAATTTTTAATTTTTGAACGCATTTGGAAATAAACTATCAATTAAGCTTTATTATATTTATTATAAAGGTATTTTCTCCTATATTATCATTTTTATAATACATTTAAGCCAATATAGTACTCGTTGATTTAAAATGTCATCTTTACAGTCATACACAATGCAGTTACATAAAATTATCTAATGTAGATTTTTTGTACTATCTTGGATATTCTTGTTGATTTTTGATTTTAAGCTACTAAGAACTTTCAACTTCGTATAATTAATCAAAATATTATCTGGTGGATTTTTGAAATATTGAACTACTTTTTTCAAACTACTTAAAGCTTCTTTGTTAGTAATAAGATTTAATTCCAATTTATTATCCTCTTCTATATTATTGTCTTTTTCAAGACTTCATTTTACTGCAGCTATAATTTCTTCATCTGATAATTCTTCTATTGGTACTTTATCGTCAATATTGATAAATTTTTCAGCAGTAATAAGATCTTGTAAATTTAATTTATCAATCATATCTTGTAATTCCAAAGCAATTCTCTTCATATCATCATTAATAATATCATCTTGATCCCGATCAGATTCACTTTCTTCAAAATTAGGTAAAATACCTGTTTTTTTCCAACAATATTCAATTTTATAATTTTCCATGCTTCATTTACAAACATTATAACATAAAGAATATCAACTGATGTTATATTAGAGTTATTTTTTTGAGCTAAATCAAATTCTTCTACTTTATTTGTAACTAATAACTTTCTATATTGAGCTTAATAAAATTATAAATTTATAAGTACTGTAAATATAAAAAAATAAATACATGTAACAATTTAATTCCTACCTTAAAACTATTAATAATACCAGCATCTAAGGGTTGCAAATGAGCGGTTGTATTAGAGGAAGAAAATGTATTTTAATATTTGATAATTGAACAGTTTCATCTATTAAATGTGTAGATGCATTATTAGCCAATAATAATATATTTCGATTTTGTCATCTCATTAATTGATTAAGTCTATTTAGATAATCACGCCATATTGATACTTACATTCAGACTGTACGGTTCCAGTAATACCAAATGGGTAGATCATCTTTTTTAATTCCTTTTAAAACACGAGGAGTTTGCCATTTATGTATTACTAATGCAGGTAATCTATAACTTCCATTAGCATTACAAGTTAAAACAACTGTAATACGATTTTTGATTTTTTAGTACCAGAAATATAGTGGTCTGAAAGTGTTTTTGATGGTTCTAAATTCTAAAATAAAGCTAATAGATAATATTAAATTAATAAAATTGTAAAATATACTATTAATTTCAAATTGTATTTACCTATTTTATCAACATTATAAACATCATAAAGATTGTATTATTCAATAATTTCTTGCAGGTTCTTACGCTCTTCTTTTAACATTTCCAATAGTACACTATTTGCCTCACCAGCCTTATTAATTTGTCTTATATTATATCGTTTTTTAAATTTAGATAACTATCTATCTGAAGCAATAAAAGATATTATATGCAATCTAGTTGCAAAGTTTAAAGCTTTAGTTTTTAATATATCCTCTATAATTGTTAATTTAAAGATAACGCTTATTGTATTCACAAATATAACGCAGATTCTACTTCTAGAAACTTGGCACCTCTATCCCATTTTTGATTTTTAAAATCCTTATTTGTAACATCAATAGATAGCCATTTATCTTTTGCTTTTAATATTTTACAAACTTGAGGCTTTGATATATCAAATTTTTCAGCAAGTTCTTCTTGATTATATGATGGATTATCTCTTTTTCACTCACATAATTCTCTTTTTTTCGCAAATGATAAGCTTTTTCTTTTATTAGGTTTTTCTCTATCGGGTGGCATTTTGAGAATAAAAAAAATTGTATTATAATAAATGAGCTAACAAATTTTAAAAATGATCTACAAATAATATAAAATTAACTACAAATATATTATACAATATTGATTTCACATAATATTTATTATAATGAATATAAATTTATAATATATGTTCTATATTAAATTTTAAAAAAAGTTTACTATATATAATATTGAGATTTTATTAAGAAATTTACTATAACGAATAAAATTTTTTATAGAATGAATTGGAAAAATAAAAAATGTCACTATAAGCCAAATTTACTGTAACGGGATTTACTATAACGAGCTTTGATTGTAGTATTTATTTAGTAAAATTTAATATAATAAGACTTAGTAATAAAATAAATAATAAAAGGCAAAAAACACATATTTTTTTTATATATATCATACTATTTTGATAATTAATATAATATCTAAAAGATTATAAAATATCATTAACAAAAAAATTATAGGAATAAATCTAAAATAAAGTAGACTATCAATTGTAAAATTATAGATATAAATTAAAAATTAAATTAAATAACTGATAATATAAAAAATATAATAATAAACTCAAAATTATTTAAAAATAAAGAAAATAGTATAATTAGATTATAAATATAATTTTACTATTATAATACATAAAATGAATAATAATAAAAATAAAGAAATAGTTAAAATATTAAAAAAAAAAGTAATAAAATAATAAGAATATAAGAAGGTTATATATTATTACTTAGATTATAAATATAAGTTATATTATGATAATTAAATTACAATATTAGATTATGAAATAGTAATTAAATAATAAAGTTATAGTTATAACTTAATCTAAGTAATATATTATTATATAAAATTTTTATATTATAAGCTTAATTAAAATTTTAAATTTAGATTTTTTCTTTTTATTTTTATTATTATCATTACAGTTAACTCTTGATATAGCAAATTTTTGATATAATGAATTTTTTAAACAAATATAATAAAAATACTTTTATTATAGCGAATAGGCCAATCAAATCTCTTAAAATTTTTACTATAGCCTTATAGTAAAGTTGAGGTTTAAAACATAAAATTTGTTATAACAAAAGTTGACTGTATTAAAGTTTTTAAAATAAGAATATTTATTTTTATTTAAAATCTTTTAAAATAAATCAATATTTTTAATTTTTTTTTTAATAAAACTCTTGATAATAAATTTACTTTTATTATAAAATTAAATTATAGGTTTATTTATATAAATTAATAAGAATTATATAATTTAGATTATAATAAATATATAATATTATTTTATATTATTAATAAATATTATAAGTTATTTTTTTTCATAATAATAAATCAATAAATATTTAGTTATATATATATATATATTTTATAATATTTTTATTTTACTTTATTCATAATTATAAATATATTTTAAAAGTATTAAAATAAAAAAAAAATGTAACTTTGTTAATAAAAATTTAAATAATTTAATATTATATAAATATATTATAATAAAAGTTTTAAATATAAGATTATAATGTATTATATATTATTATATAATTTATTTATTTATTAAAATATTAATATTAATTTTATTAATCATTACATTTAAGAAGTTATTTTTAAATTTAATTATAAAATTTGTTATATAACAATTATTTAAATTAAAATAATATAATAAAAAAATTATTATTATTAAAAAAAAAAATTTATAAAAATATAAAACAATAACTTTTTTTTAAAAAAATGGATTTGATTTTCTTATCTTATATAAAAAAAAATCAATTTTATAATTTTATTATATTAATTTGCTTAAAAATAAATTTTAAATAATTTATTATTTAATAATTTATATAATAAATTATTTTAAGTATATTACAAGTAATAATAATATAAAATTATTATTCTAATTAATATATGGGCGCTTTGCAATAGAAGAAAAAAAACCACCAAAGAATTTTTTTGAGTTAATGAATTTATTTTACTAAAAAAAATAAGATTTAGCTATAAAATAAAAAAGCTTTTTTGGTAGTTTCCTTTCTTTCTACTGCAAAGCCCATATTATCCTAATAAATATTTTTATATAGATAATAAACTGATTTGCTTATAAATCAGTATACTTTATTATTAACCTTATAAAATTAACCTTAAAACTTTGTATATTAATTTGAATAGTAAATATTAGATGTCAAGCAACTAATAATTAAGTCTTTCTAAATTAAGAATTAAATTTTCATATGTAAAAAGATTATGCGAATCGTAGATCCCATCGTTTTGCCACGATTTTTTTTCTTTTTTGAAACCCTAATTAGTTCACTCTATGGAGCTTAAAAAATAAAAATCAACGGAATTTCCTTATATATAAAATGTTCCGAATATAAAAAAGTTTTATATATATAGATCTAGAAATTTAAAAATGAATGATTTATAAAAATGTCTTCAAAATCTATCTTGGAAATTTCAATTTCTGCTGCTGTCCTCGTTGGCTCTTATTATTATTTACCTGATAAATTCCCTGCAGTTGTAGCTTTTGTAGTTGGTTCTTGGATCAAACATCTTTATTTTGATAAAAAAAAACAAGGTACCTTTAACCTGTATTATTTTTAAAAATTTTAAAATATTAACCTTATTCTTCTTTCAGTTCTTGATCCCGAAAAATGGCAAGAATTCCCTCTTATTGAGAAAATCAAAATTAGCCATGATGTAGCGTTGTAGGTTTCTTTTTTTTTTTAAAAAAAAAAATTTTATCAAGATTTTTTATTAACCAAGCTTTTTAAAGATACCGATTTGGACTTCCTAAACCTGATGATGTTCTTGGACTTCCGATTGGCCAGGTAATTTAAGTTGTTTCAATGTTGATTAATATTATATAAACGAAATTTAATTTATTATTAAAATTATAGCATATTTCAGTTCAAGCTGAAATTGATGGTAAACTTATTTCAAGAAGCTATACACCAACTAGTTCTGATGATGATATAGGACATTTTGATTTAGTCATAAAGGTAAAATTTTTTTTTTAAAAAAAAGGATGGACTTTTTTAAAACAAATAGTTATATAATCAAAAAATGATCTCTCGCTTAGTCATATCCTAGTGGAAATTTATCCAGATATTTTGGAGAAGAACTCGTAGTTGGGCAAAAAGTCTCTGTTAAAGGACCAAAGGGACAATTTAAATATACCCCCGGTTTAGTTAGAGCTTTTGGAATGATTGCCGGTAAATTACTATTATTTAGCATAATAAATTTGCGTTTATGATTTTTTATCAATTCATTTTTTTTATTTTTACCTTCCGCAGGTGGTACTGGTATAACACCAATGTTACAGGTATATCAAAGATGAGCTTATTTACCAAATGTAAAATATTTAGCAAAGCTAATTCATTATAATCTTTCAGATTATCCGAGCTATAACTAAAAATCCTAATGACAAAACGATAGTTAGTTTAATTTTTGCAAATCAAACGGAGAAAGATATTTTATTAAAGGAGGATTTAGATGACCTTGCAGCAAAACACGATAATTTTACAGTATTTTATACTTTGGATAGAGTAAATACGATATTTTCTTTTACACAAAAAATTATTTTCAAAAAATTATTAATCTATCTTTAATTTTTAATAGCCACAGCCAGGTTGGACTGGAGGATCCGGATTTGTCACTCCCGAAATCATAAAAAAGGTTTGCCCACCTCCAGCTGATGATGTAAAAATTTTGTTATGTGGTCCAAATCCCATGGTATCAGCCATGGCAAAACATTGCGAATCATTAGGTTACAAGAAAGCTAGAACTATCTCTAAATTGGAGGTAAATAATTTTGATTTGATGTGTGCATTAGTCTTGAAGATTTATATTTATTTGCTTTTTTTCTTTTACAGGACCAAGTCTTTAAATTCTAAGTTAATTATATTTATATTATATATATATATATATATTATTTTATAAGTTAAACCGAAAGATCAATCTAAACACTCTGTATAATTTAATTTGCTAATTTATGAGTTATTTCAGTTGATCTTTAGAAAGGAATTGAATTTGCAATGTATAGAAAGTATTAAAAGAAAAACGGAAAACTTTACAAATAAAGAAAGTGCCAAGATTGTATGTATAAATTATACAATAGGACCGGCAGGAGCCATTTGAGCATAAACCATTTCGCTAGATTCTTCAATAATTTCTTTACCATCGACAGTTTTCGTTGTTTTAGTTCTACGTTCGCTACGTCCGATACCTGTACCATATTTTTCTCTAGGTCCAAGCGGTATGGCATTTCTTCTACCAGAAATCAAGGGGGGCATGTTTCTAACACCAAACCATCCCATTCTAAAAGCAAGTTCATTTGCACAAATTTCACCAAATCCTAACATGACCCCGTTTATAAACGGAAATACAAAATTCATTGTGAACGTTTGTAAAAATGAGATAAATTTCGGATGTCGATAAAATGGTACAACGGATTGTGAATCTCCCGAATGATTGAAATGATTATTATTGTTTATATTATCATCTCCAGTTTGAGAATTTCTTCTTGAATCTCTTTGTCTAAATATGTGATGATCATGACGAGGCGTTGTTGGTGAATCCCATGAATGAGATGGATTACCAATTGAAGTATTTAAAAATACGTGTGGAACCGTATCATCCGGTTGTGTTGTTGCGGCAAGAAGTGGTGAAGTATTATCCGTCATAGAGAATTGCTTTCCTTTTTTTTTTTTACATAATTGTGAAAAATTGTAAGCATTTTTTTTTGTACTTAATAAAGATATTTCCAATAAAAAGAATAAATATAATTCTTTACCTTTAATTAAACAAAAAAAAAAGGAACCGTTTAAAAATACTCAATTTTGGAGGGAAAAAAAAAAGAAACGCCGTGTAAAAAGTTAAAGAGGCGCCTTTATAAACTTAAAATCATATGACCATTATCATTATATCTCAATTCGCACATCATTGAATTGACATAATGACGAACACATTTTAATATTTTTAAATATAAGGTCGCATTTGAAATCACGTTACATATCATATGACTTAACAGTTTACTAACCAAAAATTAATGATCATAATCGAAAATCGGTAAAAATGAAATGGATTTTTGATCCATAATGCAAGAGGCCCTAGTTTATATAATCATTAATAATTGATCAACAAAAGGAAGAATTTTTTTAAAAAAAAACGTCATTTGATATCAAATAATACAAGAAATTTCATTTTTCAAAAATTTTATTATTATGGCTATTATTATTGTTCTTTGTTAATTATAAAAAAAAATTAAAATTAAAACAATTAATATATTTACAACAAAATTAAATATTAAAAATTAAGACGAGACCCCCAAAAAAAAAAATTAAAGAAACGAAATTAATAATAACAGTAATTTTGAATCTACCAATATTGTCCAGAATATTGAATAGAATATTTTGTATTATATTGTAAATAATTTACAACGTTATTTAAAATTTCCCTTTCGGTTTCTAAACAATGTATGCGATGTTTTAAATCTGGTATACTATAATGTTCATATTGAAAGAGATCAGGTGGAATATAACTTTGTGGGAGCACAGGCGGTGGCGCGATATACTCTTCAGAAGGAAGAGGCAAACCATTAAATAAAATATTATACGGATGGACTACGGGAGATAAATTTTGTTCAATGTATAAAGTTTGTTCCACATTCGTTGAAGAATCGGCTTCGATGAGATTCTGTTGATCTTTTGTAGAAAAGATTTGTTGGTCGTCCTTTAAATTACTATTAACTTGAACAGGTGATGAATTCAAAGAACTCAAAGTAGACGTGACAAGATCCAGCTCATTCACGTTCACTGAATTGACAGGTTGTTGCTGTTGTTGTAATTCACTTTGTAGTAGTTGTTGTTGCTGTTGTTGTTCTTTTTGTTCTTTTTGTTCTTTTTCAACTAATAAAAGTTCTTTACGTTTTTCATAAAGTAATTTAGCGTCATTTGCTAATTGAGTGTAAGTCTTTTTAACGCTACACGGTTCTTTTTTCCATAATTTACTGGCAAAATAAGAAACGTCTTGCATGGTCAAACAAATTCTTTTATTCTTTAATTGTTTACAAAATTCCATACGATAAGCAATAAACGCATTGGGAAATTTTACACTGGGTTCTTTCTTTCGTTTATTATTGAACTTTCCTGAAAGTTTCCTTGATGAATTAGAAAATTTTGGTATTAGTGATTCAGGAGTTAGAATGGGAGGATATAACGGACGAAGTTCATTCATGAATTCTTGAATTTCATCATCGTTGTTGTTACTACCACATTCTTTAATGTCATTATTGCTATATTTGTCCGAGGTTTTTACGTCTTCAACCATGACGATTTGTTCTTGTTGCTGCATTGTTTTTATCAAGGGATTAAATATCTAGGGAAAAGTTCTTTTTTTTTTTTTTTTTTTTTTTTTTTTTTTTTTTATTAGATAAAGAATGAGAAAAAGAAAGAATATTGAAAATTTCTGGGATGGGCTTTTTTTCCTTGTGCAAAATTTTAAGAGGAGGGAATTCAATCGTTATTTATTAAGATTTCAGAATAATATTTAACGTATATATATATAATGAATAAAATAAATGAACAACATATATTGAATAAAATAAACAAGAAAAAAAAAAAATATACCAAGGATATGCAACTGCATCCATAATTGTTAACCTATTTCCGATGATAATCGAACAGGTTGACATTTGATTTGACCGTTATAATTTCCTGAATCTATCATGTGTTGTCAGGCCCTCACATGACATAACTTCGCGTTGGTTTTAAATTATAACTAATACAATTTTATTAATGGTTTAAATTGCCTTCATCAAAGTAATTGACTAATTACGTAAAGATCGTAATAGTTTCCGGTTCCTTGGGTGTTTTTTTTTTTTTTTTTCTTTTGTTGATGTTCAATCAATCTATTGATTTATAAGAAAACGCCAATCATTTTCGGTTGACACAAAAATCGACAAAACCTTACGATAAGTTATTAATTATCTTTCAAATACTTTTACGGATAGCAAATCCGCAAATCGGAAGAAACCAATAGATTTTGGTTTTTATCAAACAATATCGACGATGGATTCTTAATATAATTTTCAAAAGATCTGGACGAATAGGATGATGACAAAAAAATAAACTTTTTAGTTTTAAGAAATCGCCTAACCTTACAAGAAATTCTTTATAATATTCATCCTAATGCATGTACGGTTGGCCTCAAATCTCTTTTAATTTATTAATTTAAAACACTTTCTCTTACTTGGCTTTATGTAAAGGAAAAGATCACCTTAATATTCTGTTTGGAAAATATCAAAACTTCCAATCTCGAACGGTATATGAACTTACCAATTACATCTAAAACGCTTGGAAATCGATTCTTGATCGATTTGTTCTTTTCGTGTCACTTCATCTAACTCGGTATAGAAATATTTTTAAAGTACTTTGTCACTAGGTCTAACGGAAATAAATTTTCATTCAAGTAAACATTACCATTACATTACTCTTCATGCGGAATCGTGGGTCTTCCAACCTCTCAAAGAATTTTTGATTGATGGTATGAAAAAAAAAAAAAAAAGAAAGATATACAGGGCTGTCCGACTAATGGCCAACGATACATCCACTTGTCCTCTCCATTGACATTCATTGGTCGTGTGATTTTATTCATTATCGAATTTGAGTTTTGGCGCTTGGCGGTTCATAAAGGACCAAAACCATTTGCATTTACATGAGCTCATAATTAGTTTTGAAATTATGAACAATTTTCAATCTTCGGACTCGTGCTAAGGGGATAAAATGAAACATTCACTTGCATTTCGTACATTAGCTGAGATTATCATTAATAATTTTTTTACGATTCCAAACGTATAAACGACGAAGGCAGGAAAATTTGATCTGTTTTATGCGATGTATTGTACGTACATAACCATTGACATCTATTGGTCGAAGCTTGGATTTGTGTTGGTATAAATTGTATAATTATAAAGATCTTAAGGCATTAATAATACCCATTAAGACAAGATTTTCCGGAAAAAATAATCACCAATCTTTGTGTAATATATAATGAAATGATTTTTTTTTTTTAAAAAAAAAAAAAACAGGAAAAAAAAAATTTCACAGAAATGATATTATTACGATGGGTTTAAAGTATCCGTTTCACCTGGCCGTTTTAAAAAAAAAAAAAATATTCGGCCGGTATTTTCCGATACATCCGAAGTCCGATTGACCGCAGTAATGATAATCCCATAATTTGAACGATTTGACGAATTTGATATAAAATGTAAATACGAACCTACCTTGATCCTCATCCTCTCTTGCCTATTGGCTAAGATCAAGTGTAGTATCTGTTCTTTTCAGTCTAATATCTGAAACGTTGCACACTGTGCAACTTCGATATTAAACGAATTTTTGCAATTGGAGTTGAGTCCCTGGCTTGCCAAACTCAACTCACGAGTGTCCCTAGTATTGCACTACTTCTAGGTGATGCTCACATTTAGAATTTCTAGCGGGTTTGGGTGTGTTTGAGGGTCTGGGATAATTAAAAAAAAATTGATGTTCGCGGTGCGTTGATCACATGACGACTTCCATTTCCCATTTGCTGCTACAAAATTAAATGCATTGAATGAATTGTTATTAAATAGTGAAATCATCATTGAATAAAAAGTATCAAATATCAAATAAAAAAAAAAAAGATTTTCTTTGTATTGATTGAACCAATGATTTTCGTTATCTTTTCCGATTGTCCGAATCTCTTAAAATGAAAATGTTCCTTTCAAGTTTAGGTAAAGTAACATTTCCTTTTCTATTCTCATCTTTCAGATGTATATTTGAATATATTGAAAGGCAAAGAATTCAACCGCGACCTTTTTATTTACTTGCTATACTTGGTGCATGCCGAAAGTCAAGCATTGTCGGAAAAATGCGTAGTTGGCCATAAAGTCGTACAGCTATAATTTTTTTTTAGATAAATTCGTACTACACAAAGTTTACATTCGAATGGAATCAGAATTATATAATCGAAATTAATATTTACGCCGAGAAATTTTATCGAACCCTCTACTGAGTTTCTCCGAGCAAAATGATGATAACATTCCATGTCAGTAAGTATCGTTTGTTACGATTAGTCATGATTTCGAATTTTAATTAATTAAAGCTCGTCTGTCGATTCATGTTAGATGGGTATATCCTTTGGAAGACAATTGTAAAGAAAAAAATTTTTTAAAGAAGATCTTATTGCATATTATCATTAAAGGTATCGGCGTCCTTTTACGGAAGGCTCATTTAAGGTGCAAAGAGGTCTGAGAAACTAAAACGATGGATCACGTTTGTGCATGGGTATTCGTATTTTGCATACGTAAGTGCATTCAAAATAAATGTTTTGAAGTCTTATCGATCCCTACTGACTTTTACCTTTAGTGAGAATCTTTAACAATTTTACGGTGGTATATAATTTTTTCCTAATCGTTATTTCCATTATCATGAATACCAGATATTTCTTACAATCCCTCGATTAAGTTTTAACAGATTAACATATGAATCACAAAAGTGGCAATTCATTATGGTTACCCGAATTCTAAACAAGTGAAACCGTTAATGTGGATGATCTTTATATTTACAACCGTTGTGATAATTTCAAGTTCTCTTTTATAATGGAGAAGGAAGAAGAGACGAGTTGATTATTGCATTTTCTGTGCAAATGGCATTGCTCTGGCTTGGTTGCGTTATTTGTTTGTTTTCATTATTCTGTTATAGTAGAGCTTTGGTTTCGCTCGTAAAAGAAAGTGTTCAATTGATTGATGTGGATGATGAATCAAATAATAAGAGAATGAATGATATATTAAAGAATGAAAAAGAAAATATAATGTTCATATTCGTAAGGTATGTTAATGATTCCAACATGCACTAAAAAAAAAAATCATTTCAAAATACATTTTTTTTTTTTTTTAACAATCTCTCATCCTTTCGTTCGTAGATGCAAGTATTCAATTTAGGGTTTCCGTTTGAAATACAAATTTCATATCAAATATTTGAAAGTTTTTTAAAATAATTTCAAAAAAATTAAAAGAAAATATTATAAAAAAATAAAAAAATTAAATAAAAAAAAAGAATCTACCGAAGAAAAAATTTATCAAAAAACCAAAATACAAAAAAAAAGAATGAAATACGAAAAAAATAAAAATCGATCGATAAGATCGATCGAATTGAATCATTTCGATATTCAAATATTAATTATATATTTTCGAATATTTGAATTTTATTTATTTACAAACGAATATTCGAATATATTTTCAATATTTTTGATTCCTATAACAATTTGGTATAAAGTTACTATGCTAGAACTATTTATCGTAAACTTATTATGTTGTGTGACGTGCAATCTATTTTCTGTATCTATGGTTACAATAGTAGGAATCGTACTTATTTACTCGTAAGTACACATTAAGAATCCATTCGTTTTTAATTGATTAATTTATTCACCTTTTTTTTTTTTTTAAAAAAAAAATAAAAAATTTTCCGAACCTCAAATTAGGGAAATCCTAACAAATTGTTTTGGAAGGAAAAGAAGTATGGACGAACCAAAATAGTACATGGATGCAATTAGAAAATAATTCCTTTGATAGAAGTGTTTATAGTTATGCGGAAGATATTAATCAGAATCAAGCAAAAAGGACATATCATTTTCAAGTCTAAGATTTTATCTATACTTCGCGTCATCACGAAATTACAAATAATGTTGATGATGATACATGATGAGGAAAATTGCTGGTCTTCTTGATTTGTCAGATATGGAAGGAATATCCATCATGTATTTTTAATGGTTTCACAGTTAGCAAATTGGCTCACGCGATCAATTTTTGCTCGATTTCGCGTTATGGATTAATTTCCGGCGGCACAAAATGCATTCCGCTTATCATTTGTCCTTATGATTATCAGTTAAACTATAATAAGAACCTCCGATTTTGTAATAATTTACTTTAATAAAAAAAGAAAAGAAAAGAAACTTCTAATAATAAAACTTTTGACCAATAAGATTCAGAATTGAGATATTTGAATGAAAGATTAATATATGTAAAATGGTACAATATGATGATTAAATTTACGTAAATTGAACTTTGTAATATATTATTAATATTGAGATTCACCAATCCTTCCTTTCTTTGACGAAATTTTTGTTGCTATTGTTGCTATATAAAACATTTTAAGGAACCTCATTATTAAACCGGTTTAATCCTTGTTTGATCGCCAAGACAATATTTTTTTTAATGCGTTTTGAAATAAACGAAATTAATGATGTACTATAATCAAAAATTCGGAGCCGAAAACGCAAAATCCGAAATAAACATGTAAATAAACTTGTCAATTCATACATTCATTCCTAAAACGTACCTTTATTTCCCAAACCAAGCCATAAACCGGTTTCGTATGCTCATATTTTACAAGTGCGAATTAAGAACCCAAAGCCATTGAATGAAAAAATAAATAAAGAAAACAATGGTAATGTCATACGACATATTTTTATGATTGTTTGAAGTGATTATAAAACGATTGTCCGGAAGTTTGTATTTCATGGATTATCGGGACGCGAAACGTGGCAATGTTGAAACATGAATATGGGTTGAAAAAAGATTAAAAATAACAAAAATAAAAATACGGTAATTCATTCTGGTCGATCAACCTTTGTTGGGGTAGATCCCCATTTATTTCTCTTTGCTCTTTGTTCATTTTTTTTTTTTTTTTTTTTTTTGTTAATAAAGAATGTTTTAAGTTCTTTGTACATTTCGTTGTGGAAACTTCTTAAGCATGGTGGAATTTTTATTGAAGGATGACCGTTATTTTTAGCAAAAATGACGTTATCTTAGGCTGAAACCTAAATATTGTTTTTAATATATTTAAATGTGAACACAACAGATAGTCCCATATGACCCACGTTTATTTGAAATCATATCGTTATCTGTATTTAAAGATGATAAACTGCGCGTAACGAAAAATCTTTAAAGCATTATCTTTTTTAGAAATTTTTTACCGATTATCCAATAATAAAATGATGTGTACAAAATTTGCGCAAGGTAGATCAACTTGATCCAAAAACGATAATACACATTACCAAAGCGAACGTAATTTCGCTTCCCCCTGAATAAATTTATTACACTTTTGTATTCATTATAAAGTTTGGCGCGGAATCGTGCTCCATTTGGTAGTTTAAAAGGCAAGAATCGAACGACCTTTTTTTCTTTTTTTTTTAATTTATACAAACGCGCCGAAGTGATGCATTACATTTTTGCAACCAAATGTTTTTTTATTTTCTTTGTGACTCCATCATCAACCATAATTAAATTAGCTTTACTTCATTTGTGTAATAAGTTTTCTTTTTTTAAATGAGCAAATAAAACAAGGCAATTCATTTTATAATAAGCAAATCAATAAAATAAAGCAAACAATAAAATCATTGCATGAATGCTAGCAAGCAAACAATTAGACAAAAGGAGAATCCTTCGTCGCTAAAATTAGGATTATGTGTACCCGTTCCTTGGAAATCATTCTAGAAACTCGTTATTATTCAAGATTTCTTTTGGCGAAGTTCGACAAATCCGACAAGGGAATTCTAAGAAGGGTTTATAAGAAAAAATTTTATCATTTAATTTTTTTTTTTCTTTGCTCCAATTTCTTTGTAAGGTACCAGAATTGGCACTGCACAGAAAGGGAGAAAAGGAGTCAGCCCACAAAGAAACGAATAAGTGTATGGTTAAAAAATTAGGTTTCTGCGTGATTAATAATAACATCAATGCATGTATCCCGATTAAAATATAACGTAGCATATATTATTTTAGTCTACAAATGTTCTTCCGAGGGGGGGAAAACTTTTTTCATTCAAAGAATGGGATATGCAATTCGGCCGTCTTCGATGGAAGAAATAATCCATGTCATGATGAAATTTATTTATAGAAGGGATCCGCTTTACGCGTATGAGGCAAATGTTAACTGAATATGGAAAACAATCATAAATACCAAGGAGAAAAAAACAAATGTAATTCTCATTTTATTCTTCATTTCATTTTATTTTAATATACATGATATATATAAATATCACTTTTTTTTTTTTTTTATATAAATTTGAAGTACAAAAAACGGACATACCCTAATGCATTATTATGAAACCTTTTTTTTTTTAAACCAATGAAAAAATCTCTTTCCGATCACAAAAAACTATAGACGCGATTTTAAGGCCGATTTGAGCCTACGAAATAATCACAAGCAATGGGTGATACAATTATATAAATTAATAAAACTCTAATCCCGATATGGATTGTTAAGAAAGGGTTCGGTAATTTAATAAATTACGAAAACCATGTAGAATATCATCAATTAATAAAACTTATTTTTATTTTTCTTTCAAATTTATTTGTCATATCATTCATCATACTATATGTAATCCAAATTACTTAATTTATATTTGCAGGAAAAAAATTATAAATACGTTATTGCATTCTATATTTTACTTGTTTTCCTTACTCACTGAGAGCTCAATAATATTTTCTTATAAAATTCAGTGGGAACTCATTGAATCTGTTGCGATTAACTCGCAAAGCCCAAAGAAAAACAAAAAAAATAAAAAAAAAAGTTAAGAACGTTGAAATAATTCAAATATATTCAAAACTTTAATATAAATAAAAAAAAAAAAAAACTCTAAGCAATTTAAGATAATCTAATAAAAACTTAAGAACAAAACTTATAATGGCTAAATCAAATCGAAAACAAGTTAATACGAAAAGAAAACCGGCGTCAAAACGTAATCGTAACATTCCAAATATCGAAATTAATTTACCGTTTCCACCCAAGGTTGAGCTCGAAGACCTATTCCCCAAATCCAAAACAGTGAGCTTACGAACTTTGAACGCGTTTTTCATTTATCGCAAAGTGATTACTGCTGAATTAAAAAAAAATCATGTCTTATGTTGGAGTATAATATCAAGCATAGCATCCAGCAGATGGAGGATCGAAGATTCCGGAGTGAAGCAGCATTACAGAGAACTTGCAGAACATGCTAAAGTCTTGTATAGATCTAAACATCCATTATATGTTCATCATGGAAAAAACGCTGCCGAGTCTGCGATGATGCTTCAAGACGACGATGAGAAATCTGCACCAAAGCAATTTATCTTTGTAAACGAATTCGATACTAATAATAAAGTTGCAGGTCAACAAGACGCGTCTGATCAAGTCGAAGTTGCAGAACCGCTAAATGATCATAATAACTATGATTATGAACAAAACATTTCTTCGTATACCGTCGTTAACCCTCCAAATCCATCAGCATTTGACTTGGTTGATTATTTATATGGAGATACGTGCAACTATTCCATGACCACACTTTTGCATGATGAAGAATTAATTTATTACATGATGAATGGAAGTTGGTTTCCGCAAGATTGAGAAGGACAATATACCTATTTTCAACAGTTATCAATTATCAAAAAACGCTCGAGGGTTTCCTTAAGTTATGTAATAGATTATTATTTTTTTTTTTTAAAAAAAAAAAAATTCATGTAGTCATGTTTCATATTTTATTTTTGGGATTTTGGTAAAATAAATTTTAGAACCTTCAAAGTTATCTATATATATCTTTTTTTTTCGACAATTAATAAGATTTTGTTACGGTTTTCTATGATGTTTATGCACGTTTTATTAATAAATAATTGTCAATCTATTTAATCGTTTTTCCGATCTTTTGTTTTGTAATTAATTTTGTTTGTTTGCCCAAAATTTCTCGAATCTTTTAATAAGTGATTTTATCGTCACAAAGTATAAATTTTTAACAATGTGTACATATCCGAGTACCTGAAACCCGAAAAATCGCATGTGCTCAATCATTTGTTTCCCCTAACTATAACAGGTATAAATGTTGATAATCGCAAAATAAAGTTTGAAACTATTAAATGTTACAATCAAACATTCGAGTTTATGGTTAATGTTTAATATATATTTAAAAATTTGCAAATAATTGTCATTATCACTATTGATTGATAAAATGTCATTATCAACATTTTAGAAACATTTTGAAACATCTTAATGCAACAATTTATCAATTCTAACATATATAAATAATGAAATGTGTCATGATATATTAATTGTAGAAGATGAAATACAGCTTATTGAATTCAGCCATGATATATTAATTGTAGAAGATGAAACACAGCTCATTGGATTTATCATAATATGACGCATTGAATGGTGAGTAAATTCATATTTCTAAGATCAATAAATAAATGATTTTTAGCAAAATGTGAAATCACAATAAATTACACAATATTTTCATTACTTATAACTATAAAAAAATGATATATCACTTATTGGATTCATCATAATAAGATGTACAAATATAAAAATGATAATCAGTCTCAAAAATTCTTGCTATTTCAATCTTACATCAATCAAACTTTATGTATCTACAATCTTTGATTATATAAATAAATCAAATTACTAATAGTTTCTTTTATAAAACTATGATCTTTTAAATCAAAAATTCTAATTAATTAAATCAGAAATGACATTTGAAAAAATCACAATTTAATTAGCATTTGAATATAAGCAAAATTTTTAATATCATAAAATTTATCATAATGTTGTAGTTAGTTAAGAATTAATAACTTTAAATAATCAAATATTATAAAATAGTATATATAAGTAATAATTGAATATTCTAAATATTAATTGCTACATTTTTTACAAAATTAAACACTTCTGATTTTAGAATATTTAATTTATTACATTTTACAATATTTGATATTTTGATTTAAACTTTTAATTAATTCTATTTATAATAATTTATACATTCAATATTTAAAATTAATTATAAAAATTAATCTTACTAACTTTAAAACATTTAATTTATTATTTATTTATAATATTTTAAGTTTTTGATATTTAAATATTTATTAATTATATTTTAAATTTTATTTTTAATTAAATTAAAATTTTATAATTAATTTTTTTATTTAAATATATTAATTTAATTGAATAAAATTTTATAAAAGTTTATTGTTGATAGATTTAAAATTTATAATAATAATTTAAAATCAAAATTAAATTTATTAAGTTTAAATTAGTTAATTTTAATAGAAATTTTTTAAGTTTATATAGAATATTTGAACCTAAATTATATTATATATTTATTACTAATATCATATTCTTCTATCTTTAATTTTTATTATTTATTTTAGAAACTTAAATTTTTTAGTGAAAAATTATTATTTGTTATACCTATATGTTATATAGCTAATTTCTTATTTCTTAATGTCAATAAAAATAATATTAATATTGATCATATTATATAATCTGTATTTAAACATTTTATATAATAAAAATTATCATTTTAATATTATATATAATAAAAATTAAATTAACCAATTTTATATAATATTAAAATTTATTAATTTCTTATAATTTATAATTTAATTTAAATAAATTTTAGTTTATTAAAATTATTATATAAAGAAATTTTTAAATTTAATATTAGTTTTATTATAATTATTTTAATTAAAAATTAAATATAATTAATATAAATTACTAATTTATTTATTAATTAGTAAAGTTATTTTTAAATTTTAATTGATGTAATTAAAGTTACTTATCTAAATTTATTTTAAATTTAGTAAAGTATCTAAACTTTAATTTTACTAATTTTTATTAAGAGGAGTCACAAATATTATATAATATCATATAGGTAAAAAGGAGATCAATGATGTTTTATGTAATACAAAATTCTAAAAATAGAAATACATAATACATTAAATAAACTTATTTTTTATTAGATAATGAATAAAAAAAAAAATAACAAAAAAATAAAAAATAAGCTTTTTATACATTTAACTCTACATTCATTTTATATAGAACCAATATATATTACTATGTACTAATCTAAAATGAGTTATTATTTCTTAGAATAAGCAAAATATCTATGATTTGTAAGAAAAACACAAGTAGAAAAATATTTTTTACATGTATTGCATTCAAGCTATGCATACTATTTAGCACTAACTGAAAGATAATATTTGTCATACTTCATTGATTTTGTTAAATCTAGATATTATGCAGTATATATTGGATTCAAAAAATGATTATCTTTGCCTTGAATTACTGATAAAAGAAAACCATTTGTTTATTCAAAAAAGTGGCAACTTCAGAAGCTCATTTTTGTAAATAGCATTCTGAATTTATACATTTTTGTATATCTAAGGAATATTTATACATTTATGTATAGTTTTTAATCTAAGCCTATAGAATTAGTTCAGTAATTCTATTATTACTATCATCAATTCTCATATTTACCTCAAAAGTTACATCTGATAAAGGAACTGGTTGCTCATTAATATATTCAGAATAGATAGGTTTTCCAAAAATCTTATCACATTGCAAAATATTACATAAAGTTTCACTGACATACCAAAAATTTTGTAATCCAAGTTCTTGATCAATAACTTTTTCTTGAGAATCAAGATGCTATTAAATTTATTACTAGAAAAAGAATTTTTGCTAGTTTCTTAAATAAGGATATCATAGCTCTTTTAACAGAATTAAATGCGGATTGTTTTAAGATATGAGTATATATAGTCAAATAGTTAAAATCTAGTTTTTTAAATAGATGGCAATATTAATATATATTTTTAAGATATCAGAAGTTTTGTCTGATCTTCTATCTACTAATATTACCTAAATAAGTTTAATTATATCATTAATTTTGAAAATATCTTTGTATTCTCTTATTGATGTAAGATTAACCAAATCTTACATATGTGTCAAAAAGTTTGTTCTAATATACCATTGGGATTATACATAAATTGTAAGCTATTCTGCTCTCATTATATCATTTGAATCAGTCAGATTGATCATTAAATAAACACTTGAAATTAGCTTTTGAGATGCACCAATTAGAAAATTATGATCTTCTACTTCTATAGGTTTAGCAATTGATTATATGGTTTGAAATATATGTCTTACAGCAAGTATACCATTATTAATTTTTACTTTATCATCTTGAGATATCATAACTGTTAGATCAGAAAATGTATTTGCAAATAATTTTGATGTCTTTACTGAGGCTAAACAATAATGTAAATCAATGTGTTCTTTCTTTTCACTTTGTGAAATATTAGCTATTCTAACTATTGCAGGGTGATGATAGGCTTTTATTGCAATAGAATTTTTATTATTTTATAACATATAATTGTGAAGTATATTTGTTGATAAGTATTCATTATAATTATTTTTTAATTCCTCTTGTAAATGTATTACTGATTTAACTTTAATTATTTCTTTTCTTTTTTATCATCGGCTATACCAAATTCAATTAAATTATGTAAATGTTCAAAAAGATCAAGATATTCAAAAGTACTAGAGAACGAGCAACACAATTATATATAATTGCTTCATTCTCTTTCTTTAAACGTTATTACGTTGGGTTTCGTAGCTTCAAATAAAATCTCAAAGGGTAAATAAAACTAAGACAATTACTCAAGAAATCACGGGTGAGGATTCACAATAACGTCGAAGAATTATTCTCAATAATAAACACGTGATGATAAACACAAAATAAACACAAAG